AAAGTTAAGATGTGCATTAATTATGGTTTTATGACTAAGCAATATTTCTATTGGATTAAAGGAGATGTATTCACAAGCCTGCTTGTTGTAAGATGTAATAGAGCCTTTTCACATCAAAGGAAGTTTTGTTGCCTCATTCTGAGTAACAGGCAATGAAGGCAATATAGCATTGCACAAACCTGGAAATTTAATTTATTTTGTCATGTAAATTGGAGGTTTTACACGTTACCATTTTTTGTACTTTCATCGTGGTTAGAAATGCACTCATTAATGCTGATTCTTTATAACCCCGAAATGTAAGAATAGCTTTGCAGTTTCCCTTTAAGGTTATTTTTAAACTGAAAATGGTGTTTAATTCTATAAGCACCTGTTTCAGTGCAGATCCTGTCATATGTAGGCTTCTTCACAGAGAAAAGTGTGATCAAAAGAAAATAACAAAACATCCAAAACAACTTTGACATGTAGTTTAGATTGTGTGCAATAAATAACCATTGGTATTAGAATTTAGGATTAGGTTAAAAAAATGATTTGTACAACAACTGAACATTTTTTCCGATATTATTATATCATATTATTTGTACTGAACATTTCATTTCAAATTAAAACTGCTCTAAAAAGGATGAGGGAATACTTTAATAAATCTAAGAACTTTAAAATTCTCATCAATGTTGTAATAATTTCTAATGAAATAATTTTCACTAAAGCAATACTTTTTGTATTTCTGTTTAGTTGTCCAGTGGTCTAAAATCCTGAAATCACACAGTCATGTACTTATTCATGTATTTATACTTTTATGCTGTTACTGTATATTGTTATGGAATGCCTTTCTCATACTCTGTGAGAGACAAAGTATCTGACCCTCATATTCAAACTCAAAACTAACATTTTTACTAGGTGTCTGAGTGATCTACATTCTACATGAACCTGTCTGTAACTTTGTTATGTTATTTCTTATTGTTTTTTTTTTCTTTTTCTTTATGTGTAGAGCATTCTTGGATATGGAGAGGCACTTTATAAATACATTTATTATTTTATAACTACAGTATATGTATGTTATATAACATTATTGATTATTAATTAATAACATGATATATAACATTATCTGGTTTCTGATGCTTATTTCTTTACTTTTTTACATTTTAATAAACAGGCAATTAAGTCCAGGTTTATGCGAGGATGTGCTTTTATTTAAATGATGAGTCATTTTAAATTTAATTCTATTTAAACCCTCAACCATTTACACCCAAGAGACTAGTGATTTAAAGGACCGTGTTATGGGCATGTTTGTGGACTGGAAACCTATTAAGACTGCATATGAATAAGCATTTCAGTTCCCATTTGCCAACTAACTTCTAGGGAAATCCTCAAGGTTGGTAAACATTTGCTGTATTCAATATGAGTGATTAATTTGTGAAAGGTGCTATAATGCAGTTGTATCTTTGATTACTGAAATGCCACTTTCTTTGCATCGACTTGCAGAGCACTTGTCAGTGTTGGCTAATGTGATATATCCAGTTACCACTTTTAGGAGAAGGCCTTCAGAGTCGTATGGGAAAGTAAACAGAGCACTGTTTATTTGGTCCTCTTCTGCACTATGGCATTTGGTTCACTTCTTTCCCATGATTCCTCTTTTATTTCTGTTTAATTGTAATTACATTGCTATTTCATTTGCTTCTCATTTAAAAACTATCATGTGGTAACTAAATTAAATAGACTTTCATGGTGTGTAATTGTATTCATTTGTGGATATTTGGGATGTACTGTGATTTAAAAACTAGACTATTTTTTATTTTTAAACTGCTTCCTTTTTCCCCCCCTGTTCCACTTCTCTATTTAAATTGTTGCTCACCACAAGGGGTAACCTCTAAAAACTGTAATATACATAATAGTTAATGTTTTTTATTTTTGTTGCCATTTATAACAGCTTATCTATGCTTATTTTTGCAAATCTGTCACAATTTTTTTTGGCAAATTCTTTGAATGTTTTAATGGAGGCCAAGACTTCCTCCTATTCTTCCTGTTTTTTTCTGTATTGTGCAATTTTTTTATGAAATAAAATATGCTGTCAATAAGAATTATAAATAATGTTTCACCACAGAGTGTTATAAGCCTTATATATTCTCTCCTAAGGAGTGTAGCCATTTTCTATATTTATCATCCTATACAACCAATGATGTATTGTATTTGATGTAATGATGGTCAACCTTCAGTCATATCATTAGTATAAAGTAGGTTCATCAGCTATTTAACTTTTTTCAAGTTATCTTTAAGTCCACCATTTTTCTTGGCCAAAAAGTGAACCCTTACCACACATACACACAGGTTTGCTCTCACCAACACTTTAACCTGTTGCTTTTACTGCTGGCTTACTCCATTACTGTTAATAAGATAATCAAATTTCTAATGAATGATACTCAAAACAACAAAACTAATGAAGCAAAGAGTTTATCTTAATATTATCAGAAATGTTCATTTTGGGCTGTGGATTGACCTTTACTGAAGATGGAATACATAACTACACTGAAGTGACAAAAGAAAAGTGTAGCCACTAGAGATTTAAAATGTTTTTACACAAAGAATCATTACTTAAGAACCATCCAGGCACTGGTATTCCTGCACAAACCATTGACTGAAGTGGTTCTTGTAGTTCCATAGCTTACATAGGAACTGGCCAGACATTGCTTTGGTTTACATCATTACCTTGGTCCCAAAACTTTAGTATTCCAAAGATAAATGTCAGGTTTTCCAGCAGAATAAATGTGGTGTGTTCCAGCACTCATCAAACAACTACAAATTACAGGAATTGTCTGCCTTGTTTTGTGAAAACTGTTAAGCATAGCCCTTCTTTTACTCTTGGATATAGAAAGATAAGTTAGGTGCAACAATTTTTTGTTCTTTTGCACAACTACGTCATCTTAGAATTTGATTGTGAATTTTCAAGTGCCAAACCTTGTTACTTGTTTGAAAATGTATTGAAGTGTTTTTTTTTTAAATTATGTTCTGTAAGGCAAAACTGCTTTTCTAAGTTTTATTATTATTGTCTCTTTATTAGAGCAAGCTTGGTATTGGATATAGAACTACTGCATGATGTAGAGACTGAAGTTAAGTACAGTACATAGGGAATTGGATAGACTGAAAATGTATTTAATATGTATTTCTGGAAATGCTTTTTCCCTTGATTCATCAAATTAGTGCTGTTCAGAGAGCAAATCAAGTAAAATGATATAGGAATTATGATCTTTGACTTCTATAAATTTGCCTACTGTTTCTCATATCGGAAGAAACAAAAACATGTATTTTGATTTTTTTAGTGATTTTAGAGGTACATATATTTACAGATTAGCTTTTATGAAACTCAAGTTTAAAGTCTCAACTCAAGTCCACTGTATCCTGATTCTTGAGATTGGTGTTCATTTTTAACCTCGCTGTTATTTTATTTAATTGTTCTAATTGATACTCAATAAAAAAATATTTATGAATATTTGTTAATGATAAGAAATGTATGTAATTTTAAAGATATTGGTGACCCTAAAAGCTTTTTCAAATTAAACTGTGTGTTTAATTAATTATAACTTTTTGTTTTCCATTGAATTCACACTTTTCCCACACATGAAGGCATGTTTGTACCAGTCACAGTTACTGTACAAGGGTTAGCCACATAAAAAAATGCTTCATAACATGGAAACCACCTAGCAATAATAAAATGAAGCAAACAGCATTTAATAAAACATGGAAGTGAAAATAAAACACTGTTTTCCCACTTAGAAAAACTATTATGTCATTTAAAAATTCAATTCCTATTACAGCAATCTTTATAACTGTATACTTTATACAACATGAATTTAAAACTGTGAAAGCTTTAGTAGGCATGACACATTTCAGGACATTGACTAACGGGAACTAAAAATAATACTTCAGCACAACTGCTGATCTTATTGCAGAAGAGTCAGCACTGAAAAATGCAGAAGATGTTTACAAATGGAGCTACAAACAATTACAATGTAATTATATTACTTGCACACCCTGAGGCCAGTGAGGGTGGGGAGGAAGCTAATTCTTACACCATTTTCTGTCTGTTGATCAAATCAATAATTACTCTATTACAAAGCTTACCATTCAGGACTTACTGCCCCCAAACTAATCTTCTTCAAGATTAATACGTAAGATTTTGTTCCTAATTCTAGCAATATTCTTCTTACAAACAACCTGAGAACCCAATATTTGCAAGGAAATAAACTTTCTAGTAATTCCTTCCTAAAAACTCTTTCAGAGCTTGGACATAAGATTGAGACTTGACTTTTGAGAATCCAGACATAGTAATAATAGGACACATGCAATGATCCTATTAGTTTAAAACTACCATATACATTGTATATGGGCCCTGCGTTCAATTCCTAGTGGGCTCGAGAGTGTATGTTCTCCTCGTGTTTGTGCGGGTTTCCTCTTGGTGGTCCAGTTTCCTCCCACAGTACAAAGACATAATGACAGGTTAATTGGCTTCTGGGAAAATTGGTCCTGATGGGAGTGTGTGCATGTTTGTATCCTGTACCGATTGCATGCAGGGATATGTTCTGGCTCCCCCATAACCCTCTATTGGATAAAATGGTTAAAAATGGGTGGATGGATGGACGTCATGTATGGTGTGCTTTAAATACAGAGTTTGTGGTCTTTGACACTAGTACCAAATAAATCAAGACATTCAAGATCTGAATCCTGGATTTCATGAGGATGGCCTTCAGATCAATCCTTTACCAACAGCGACAACTCCAACATTGAGTTAATTCTAAATATACTATTTTTAATTGTATTATA